TGGCGCCATGGCCGTAGGAGAGGCAGTTCATACACTGCGTAACATCACGATGTTGGGATTTGTAATGCTCCCAACTGATGATGACCTGAAACAGGTCCCGGATTTTGGATCTCAGAGCCGCTAGACTGGTGGATCTCTTCGTGAAGTGCACCAGGAACAACTGGTCACGGAAGCTGGTGTTGTGGTTGGAACGCCGGTTTATTGGGAACACCGCCTCAGGTTTGAGCCCAAGCCGCTCCAGCTCGGATTTAACCACAGCCGCCTCGAACGACGGTAATCCACGCAATACCAGCTTCAGTGGCTTGCTCGATGGCAGATCGTGCGTGAAGAAGTCAACGTTGTTTTCCTTTAGGAAACATCCTGTTTGATTGTACTCCTCCAGGCTGGAGCACATGATTTTGGTGCCGATGCTGCAAAGCTTGAAGCGAGGCAGCAGCTTGTGTTTTGCCAGTTCGGCACGCAGCTTGGCAACATCCTTCTCCGGCGTGAAAAGCGGGGGAATCCGCTCTCTTGCAGCGATGGGAACGACGTCACCATCGCCATTTTCTTCGGGGAGCACCGCAAACTGGTTGGCTTGCAGTACTCGTTTTCCGGCGTCATCCTGCGACGCGCTGTGCTGGATTACCACCTTCTTTGAAGGGCCCGCTGCTGAATCATTGGTACGTTTACGCACCATTTGTTTCGTGTTGGCAAGTTGCAGTAAACTTGCCAGAACGCGCGAAGGTGGCGACGCTTCCACGGCGCAAAGCGACAGCACAAACCGAATCGAAGCGAGAACTCGAGCGAAGCTGATACCAGACAGCAGCGCTGCTTTATATCTTTTTAGGTTAAAGCAGAATGATGTGCAACCAAGTGGTATAAAAGCTACAAAGACTCCTCCCTTTATGAGTAGTTTGCTATCAAGTAGCGACCCTAATAAAAAATAACCATAAACGAACGATAACCCAAATCATTGAACTATTCCACAAATGGTTTGGATGATACCCAGAACACGTCGTTAAGCAAATTAACCATACAATTTTTATTAGGGGATACTGCCTATTTTCTTTTTGCGTACACGGCGAATGAGAACGACCCAAATTTGGGTTTAGTTCACTCATAATGGCCAAAAGTGTAGGAGCTCAGCGATGAGTAAATTTGTCTCATGGTTTCCTGTAGAAAACTTAAAAAAATCTCCAAATCCAAACCCTTTACTCACAAAGCGAAGGCCACCCACACAAACCAACACCATCATCGGATAGGGGAAACTTCTACCTACACGATGATGGTATTGGTTTGTGTGAGCGGCCTTCGATTTGTGAGCAATGGGCTTTGGAACGGTTTGTTTACAAATGCTGATGGGCCCTTTTCTATTGTTGATCCAGAAATGTTTCCTGCCGTCTTCGTCAAATTAGGGTATACGTCCCTAACCTCGGTCTAATATGCAGCCATAGATTACGTTTTTAATCATAACTCATCAATTAATTTACCTGCAAACGATATTCTACTGCTAAATGGTATGCTTAGATATGCTTATCATGTCGTTTGCTATCAGGAACCGCAAAAAGTTGAAAAACTTACTTTTTTTAAGACAAAAACTCACCAGGGAAATGTATGTAATATCGGTCTATTGTCCCCAAATTGGGTCTATTTATGGATGCAACTTCGTCCTATCTTGTTTGATCCTCAAAAAAACGCTCTTGGTAACGTTTTCTGATGTATTTTTTTTTATCACTATCACTGTTAACTTAATGCTCTTCATTCCTCAAAACATTTCTTAGAGAAAATTTTACGAAAACTACATTAAATCACTCAAGTTAAAAATTAAAAATTAAAAATTTCGCTTATCGTCTTTTGACCGCAGAATATCTAAATCAAAACATTGTGATGTTCATTATACAGATTTGGCAGAAAAAATCTCCCTTCCTGTTCGTTCCTTATCATCCAAATGCAAACCACATTGTTGACGTTACTCTTATTGCTATATGCTGTCAAATGAATTTCATGGGCCAAAGTTAGGAACATAGAAAAGAAATGTGTCCCTAAAGTTGGGTCCATGATTTACTTGTGAAAACGTTGTTAAACAATTAAAATAAACATAAAATATTCAAACAGTAACTGTGAGTTTTACGTCTAGTGTGTATTATCAGGTAATTCCATTCAATAAATGCCATAATCAGGCCATTTGATGATCGTCAGTGCAACCTTCCCATCTTAACCTTAGAAGTCATGGCGGCTAAAAACTCCGAACAGAGTGATATTCTCAACCAGTTTTATTACTTACGAGAGCTGAAAATGTATTGAAATGTTGTGATATAAATTGATTTGTGTGTGGTACACATTTATCAATCATCAGTGATCAATATTTTCCTTATTTTTTGTGTAATATTCCTTAATTAATTATTTATTTGCGTGATAGGCCGAATGAAAGGACTAGACCCACATTACATACCGTAACCCTATGTGCTAGATTGTTGCTTCTTTCATCGAAAATATCCGGCCGTGGCGATTCAAAGTTGATCAAGGTTGATCAAAATAATTTGTACCCCTGCTTCCAGTTTAATTACACGAGCATTTTGTGTGATCGTTGGTTCTGAATATGGACAAACAGGCAGATGGATTCTATTCCTACTCTTTACTGTAATAAGCTTGGTGGCCCTGAAAAGAGCCGTTTTTTTTGCCAAGATGATTTAACCTCCGAAACCAAACAGAGTGCGTCTCTGTCACTTCAAAAACGTAAATAGATAACATCCATGGCCGCTTACGCTTGGCGTGTTTAGTGTAGGTGACAGCATCACGGATCTCATTTTTCAGGAACATCTCGTAAATCAAACCGGAGATACGTCAGACACCGCCACGGCGAGCCAGACAACGGATGGTGGTTATCTTGAAGAATTTGCGTTTGGTTCTGAATATGGCGATGAGTGTGCAAAATATTACGCAATTCCATCCTCCCTATTCGCACACGCCCGAGGATCGGAGGCGAATGCCACTTCGACTTGTTTCGTCTACTTACTACTCTCTGACGACTGTGCTGGGGAAGCAGCATATGCATTTAGGTAATTGGTGGATTTGTTAGTTAATTCGACGCTTTTGGACAATGCTGGAAATTTACCTGTTTTTCAATAGTTTCTTGTTGAAAATCAACCTTCGGAAGTATTGTTATCGATGCGTAGCCATATTTCTGATCGATTGGTGATAAAATTATTGAAATTGGACCAGGGGCAGCTGAGTTATTAACGTTCAAAATCTTTCTTAATTTGTTACATGTTCCATTTTCGGTTTTCACAAAGTGTACCCCCATATAGAAATCAAAGACGTAGTCCTACGTCAAAAAAAAACGCTAGTGTCATGGTAATTCCTAAGAGAATTCATAAATTTTTATTGAGAATTTCCGATAGGGTTTCAAATATTTGAATTCACAGGGAATTTCGGAGTAGCGTACCAGAATATTCTGAAGAAATTTCCAAGGAAATTTAAAGAAGAGTTTGAAGTGGATTCCTAGAAAATTCCTAGAGATTCTCTGAAGGGAACTTTGAGAAGAATTCCAATGAAATTCTCAGGAAAGGTTCCTTGCAGTTCTGAAGTAAATTCCATTGAAATTCTGGGAGAATACTTTCCAACTCGAAAATCGCAAACGAAGAAGTTTCTGCAGAATATAATCGATTTTCTTTCAAAATAATAAAAAAAAACCGAGCCCCACTCTGATTAAATGAATCAACAACTTTCAAAGCTGCCAAAGAACTGCGCCACATGGATTGCGCCTGCAGCTCGTCATAACTCATCCACGTAACCACGGAAACCAAACCAACAACGGCCAAGTGCGAGCGAGGGGTATGCAAATGCTTATTTTCCCATTACCTTTTTCCCACCTCCTTCCAAACACATTCACATTTCGCTTACCGCACCAAATCACTCACCGATCTAGTTAGCACCGAAAATGGATTGCTTGGATATCGCCCTGCTCGCTTACTCCGTTTGGTGGTGGTATTCAAATAATCGCTCCCAGATCTACCCATCGGAGAGCGCGGGGCCGTGTAAACCTAATGACATTAAGGTTATTATTCTTGCTGCTTTTATTTTCGACGCTCCAACCAGTGATAAATCGCTTACAACTTATTTATGCTGCGGGGAAAAAGAACAGCAAATTTATATTTGTCATGTCTCATTATTACTCACCACCTCTCTCGGTTCGGACCCACTCGGGGGGAGAAGAAAGAAGCAACTTTGTAAGCACTCTTTTCACACCGTGGCCGTCATTGAAACGCAACAGACGTCGGCAGCTGGGTTGAGAACTTTTCCAGCAAGGTGGAGGATGAGGGGCCCAACAGAAATTACCTTATTTATTCAAGTAAATTGAAAAATTAAACACTTTTCTATTTAACGATGTTTGATTTGAACACAGAGACTGGAGAATGATGGGATGTGTGAGGGACCGCTGATTGAGGGGAAAACAAAAGAATGACTCTTCGCGTTCATCGCTTCAATGTGTGCTGTGGGTAAATACCGAGAGGAGTACGGTAAAAAGAATGGTAAAGAAATTGTTTGTAATTATTGTTGAAGGAAGAATTTTTCTGAAGACCATTCTTCTGGAGATTGGGTTGAGAGTTGGCTAGAGCAGAGACAAATCGTCCCATCGGCGCGTGATAAAAACGTGATAAAGTAATCGCGTCGGAAGCCATCGTCGTAATTACATTGTTTGAACAAGCTTTTTCCTCCCACCGGGCTTAATTACACGAAAAACAGCCTCCCTAGAATTTGCTGCGCTGTGCGAAAAACGACTCACTTTTATAATGAAGCAATTTAACAATTAATCAACGCCGCACTCACAATTAGTAGACCTGGGCTCTGGACACTGTTTTGACTGAGTTTGGCAGGGTTGTCATGGCAACGTGATACCTAAAAGAGGCAATAAAGGCATTCATAGAACCAGACATGAGATGACAAATTATTATTGCTAAATTATCCACCGTTTTCTCACCGCTTCCGTCTGTCTGTTGTCTGTCTGTCCCCATTTGCAGATGGCTGTACAATGCCGTTGACGAACGAAACCTCGACCGGCCCCTCGACTGCGCTGACCCCGTGCAGCGGCCGTGGGAAATGCGAATCCAGTGTACTGGGGTCGAGCTGCGTCTGTCAGACCGGTTTCACTGGGCCCTTCTGCCAGCACAGTAAGTTTTTTGCTTAGAACCTTTTTCCACAAAATTTGGTCCGATTCTAACCTCAACTTTCCGCTTTTTCTCGTCTCACCTACTTAGATGTCAACGAATGTTTTTCGAACCCCTGTAAGAACAGTGGGATCTGCATCGATGGCGAAGCGGATTACACGTGCGAGTGTCCCCCCGGATGGACCGGGAAGAACTGCGGGGACCGAGCGGTTCAGTGTCTTCCGGGACAGTGCCTGAATGCGGGCTCGTGCATCTTGTCACCGATTTCCGGAATATCGCAGTGCCGGTGTACGCTCGGTTGGGGAGGACCGTTCTGCAACGAACCGGTCGATCAGTGCCAGGGTCAACCCTGTCACAACGGAGGCACCTGTGAGTCTGGACCCGGGTGGTTCCGCTGCCTGTGTGCAAGGGGCTTCTCCGGTCCGGACTGTCGGATCAACGTGAATGAGTGTTCGCCGCAACCCTGTCTCGGTGGCGCTACCTGCAAGGATGGGATCGGTGGATTCACGTGTATCTGTCCCGTCGGAAGGAGGGGCGTCCGGTGCGAAATTCGTAAGTATACTTAAACGGGGGACATTTTGAGAAGGTCATTACAAATTGTTTATTTATTTTCGAAACAGTGCTGTCGGACCCCTCGTCGGTTTGCTCGAACACGACGACCAACTCGCCGTACGATCCCTTGGTAACGAGCGACCCGACGCCGCCTGCCACGATCGACGAGAGCAACTGCAACTCGTGCGTTTGCGTCAATGGGAAGCCGCGCTGTTCGAATATGTGGTGCGGCCTGCGGAACTGTTTGAACAAGAACTTCTCGAGCAATGCGTGTGAAAGTCATCAGGTTTGTGTCCCCGCCGCGCAGGAAAGTTGCCTGGCGCCACCGTGCAACCCGCGGGGAGACTGTCGGACCTTTGAACCGTCCCGGAGGGTTGCTCCTCCGCGAATTCCGGCGCCGATCGACTGTTGGCCCAATCAGGTAAGATCCTCTTGTTCAGAAAAACTTGTTGAGTGGTGGAAAGACTTATTGGGGAATTTCGTTTACCAGGCTACCCTCGGAACGCACTGTGCGCGGATTTCGATCCTGCTGGAACTGAACCGACTTTCCCGAGGCACCTCCGTCGATGGAATGTGCCACATCCTGCGGTTACAGCTGGGCGAGAAGCTCATCAAGAGCCCCTCGGTTGACGTTTCCGTGTTCGTAGTGCTGATGTGCGATCTCAAAACGGGAACGAATGACACGATCGAAGTGACCCTGGTAAGTAGCGATCCTAGACATCCCTAGTCGCTTTGGTAGTAGTCGATTGTTGAATTGAAATGAGTTGCGCGTTTCTTTCGGTTCAATCAGCTCGCATTTATTTGATTTGATTTGAAAGAAAAATCAGCACAATTTCGATATTTTTCCTTTGGTCTATTTGATCTTGCTCATTCAAGCTTTTTACTTTTCGTCCATTCGGCCATTGGTTCCTTAACATTTCATTTGACCTTTTGTCCTTGAAGATCCTCAAAACCACATATAAACAGTAAAGTACATGAAATAGTAATTGAACAATACTAATAAATACAAGACCTATTCCATGAATTAAATGAGAGCTAATCGATTACCATCGACTATTTTCCGACATCCCTTAGCCCCAAACAACATTTGCAGTGTTCTAATCGTCTTCCTTTCCTTCCCCTCCAAAACAGTCAACGCCGACCGACAGCAGCATCGGTGCCAGTCCGCTGACGGAGGCCGTTCGCCTTCTAGCGGAGATCCTCTCCCGCCAGCAGGGCGTTCAGAACGAGTCCTTTCAGTCGGACATTGCCGAGGCGGCTCCGTTGACTTCAATTCTCGAGGTCAAGGTGGAAACGGCGCTGATCAACGAAACCACCACCGGATCGAACTACCTGATCGCGGTGGGCTTCGGTATTGCCATAGTGGCCCTCTGCGTGGGTGCCTTCGTAGCGCTGATCTGGCGGCAAAAGCTCCAAACCCACAGCGGCTCCGGAACGAATCTCACCCCTCACATGGACTTGTCCCGAAGTCACGAGGAAGAGAAGAGCAACAACTTGCAGAACGAGGAGAACTTCCGGAGGTACGCAAACCCCCTGAAGGGCAGTGCCAGTTCGCTGCGAGGTGCCATGGAACTGAGTCTCAACCCGGCGCCGGAGATCAACCAGATCGCCGGTCCGAGTACCGTTCATCGATCGCAGCAGCTCTACCCGAGCTGCGGGAACGATGGCGAGTTCGAGAAGGATCCGGAAAAGCAGAAGGCTGCCAACCGGAACTCGCACATCCTGCTGCACAAAACGCAGAACTCCGACATCACCAAGAACATTGTCAGCTCGATCGAGAGCCAACACAAAGACTTTGGCAAGCGAAGCATCAACGAGCACACGGCTTCGAGTGCGGTGGCAGCAGTGCCTCCTCCCAGTGCCCAAACTCCAGCGGGAATCGTGGTGAGTAGCGTAGCAACGGCCCCGAGTAGTACGGCGGTGCCTACTGCGATGATCGATTCCGATGTTCTCACTGTACATGTGTAAGTGTGCGATGCTTCCACGCCGCGCCAGTTAGGTTAGGTCGATTTTCTCTCAATTCGCTGAGCTAGACTTCCAGTTGAGCAATACTGGAAAAAAAAGTGAGATTCTCATTTTGTTTCGAATAGGATTTTTATTTTCTTTTAAATTTAAAAGTATTTATTTGCCTTCCCTCTCATACACACACAAAAAAACCGTAGTAGACTTCTTTGTTGACATTGCTTGCATCGTGTAAATATAGCGAATATGATGATACATAAAACTGTACGAATGAGGAGAATGCAATTTCCGTACTTTGAAAAGCGAATTTTTTTCGTGAAAGGAAAAAATGACACGACAGTGTACAGTTAAATGTAATGTGATATTAAATAAGAAGAAGCAATATTTCTTTAGATGACGAACGAACGAACGAGAGAGCGCGAGAGAACTGAAGAGCGAGAAATCACAATTTATTTATGATCGTCGATAGAGAGACGCAGTGTTCTTTCACCGGCAAACAAAATCAACGAACAGATTTTGCTTTTTTGCGTGTGAAATCAAATTAAAAAAAAAAAAAGTGACGAAACACCGCGCCATCTGTAAAGAGAAACGGTAAAAAAAACGGACATTCAAACGATAAATCATCGCACCCACACACACAAACACTAATTTAATGTAGCGTTAGAATCTCAAACAACATCAGCAACAACAACAACAACAACAGTGGAAAAGTGGAAGTGAAGTTTAAACTAAATAAAATAGTTCCTTGTTTAGTTACGGTCGTTTTTATAAGCTTTGATAGTTATTAGAAGAAGAAAAACTTGTACAGGAAAAAGTAGAAAAAGAAAGTTTACATGTTCTCCCGTAGCCAGAGATTTTTTTTTTCGTCAATATAGTTTACAACCGTACTCAAGTTGGTTAGTTTAGGTTAGTTAGGAGAGAAGAATGAGAGATCGAGTAAATAACGACAACGAAGCGAATTGTAGATAGTTGATCACGGATGATTGGTTTTATCTGTGATGCAATCAAATGTATTTTTTTCTTTACTAAAACTAGAGGACTTTTATCACTCTAAGGGACAAACAATAGCTGAACGAATTTGGTCGAGTACGGAAACTCTCACAAACGCAAGCGACTTTCGTGTGTAAATAGCCTGTAAAAAGATGCATTTGTCTTAAGAGCTAGAATATTTTTTTTTATTTGTTTAAATGTAAGCAAATCTAGAGCAATCTGAACAAAATACGGAAGGAAAGCGAAACTGATTGTAATATTTTTTTTATCGTCCAGTTTTTTAATTCCCCCGCACAGTACATGGTACTTAAAAGGAAGCCTCATTCCAGAAAAAATCCCTGAATCGTGAAGAAAAAAGAGAGCAATAAAAGATTTTTATATTTCTTAAAAAAAAAACACACTCCGAGTTGTTTTTCTTTTCGCCCAGCAGTCCCAGTCAGTTGTGCAGCGTTTGTGCATGTCTTAAATGGTGGTGGTCGTTTCGCTGATTGCGGTTGCCGTTTTTTGTGCCTCGTCTCCCTTATGGCTTCATGTTGGTGTGCAATTTTTTGCCTTCATTCCGTCTTTCTCTCGGCATAACTGCCGTTTTTACCCTTCGCTTGGCGTTTCTCGGAATCGGCAGCAACCTGTTTGGCGCTTTATGCACTGGTAAGTTGTGTTCTGTGTTGGACAGTTGTGTGGACTTGCTGGAAAGATGATGGTGCGAGAAAGAAATTGACCGTAGTCAAGAGGCAAACTGTTCCCTTTTTTTATATCGGAAAACAAATGAGCAATAAGTGATATTGGCAATCAAATACAATTAAAACAAGTGGAACTGGGGGAAAAGTAATTGTTGCTTGTGATAACCTTTCACATACGATTTCTTTATGCATTTCCGGGACACCTTTGGACTACTGAAAATTTATATTTGTCTTCATCGAAAATTTTGACTTCAATTCATTGGCACGTAATGCGGGTAGATCACCTCTTCGTGGTGCGTTACGGTGTAAGATCTACCATTACCACATCAAAATGTGCTCCTAAGCCTTTCTTGTTGGCGGTTAGGATACTTGTTTTTGAATGAATTTTCCGGATATATGAGACTGGTATCAATAAAAGTTTTGGGTCAGGGTTCTGGTGCATGGTTAAATATCAGTATCATAACTCGTTTTTGACACTAAGGACATCTATTTTGATTGATAACCAGTAACGCTGGTATCGCAATTAGGCAACAAATTCTTGATTTGACTTTGTGTAGTCCAATTCAAAAAATTGGCATGTTCAGACGAAATATCTTTGTTATATTCCATAAATGTTCGATATTGCTCCCAATCAGCTCTATGGTAATTGAAAGTAGAGCTGTTGGGATTAGAAAATATTTCTTGGGATATTTAAAAAGCTACGGGAAGGTGATCAGAACCGAAGTCAGCATAAGTAACCAATTGGCTATAATATGAATATGTAAAGACCAATACGATAGTTGACGGATTTCTTGCTGAAGAAAAGCATGTTGTGTTTGAACAATTATCAAACAGAATATTACAATTTGAATTGACTTGAGTATTATTCCACGAGCGGTGTTTTGCATTAAAATCACCAATTATGGAGAATTTAGACATATGCGTGATAATGTTTGCACCATTGAGCAATGTCAAAATTAAATAATTCTTAAAGAGTCCGCATCGTGCTCTCTTGCCGTGCGGATCTATTTGCTTTTTGCTTAAGGAAGTGTTACTACTACCTAAAGCTACAATAAATTTAAACAGCACTTTTCAGTGCTCAACCTGTAAAAATTTTCTACCTTGTTCAACTCCTCTTATTCCTTCTACGATCCTTGTTTGGACCCTACCCGAGGTAATCCTTCTTGGATATCGATTTGGAAAATTCCTCTTCGATCCTTCAGATTCTTATAGTAATCTGCTTGGAAGTCGATTTAGATAAAAATTTACTGCCGCCATGGCACCTAAACGCAAAAGAAAGGGGCAAACTCTTGACCCCCCTTCTGATGAAATTAATTTGAGTAATCAATTTGATTTGCTCACGGATGATGAGAATGATCCATCATCCAAGAAAAATTCTAGTAAACTTTCCCGGCTTAATGCCAAGAAGGAAAAGATTCCCCCTATTGTGATAACCACTTCCGATTTCCATGCTCTTCGCATGGAACTTTTGAATTTCGTGAAAGTTAAGTTTTCACTACAAATTGGACGTCGAGGTGAATGCCGTGTATTGGCTGAAACCTTGGACGGATTTAAATGTCTTCTCAAGTATCTTACTGAGAAGAAGCACAATTTTTTTACTTACGACACCAAAACTGAACGTGTGTTCAAGGTTGTCATGAAAGGACTGCCCAGTGGTGAATCCCTGGATCAGATCAAAGATGAACTGGCAAAATTACTTGGAGTTGTGCCACTCCAAGTAATCAAAATGAAAATGAAATCCCGTCCTGGCGATTCGCGCAACGGGATTTCTAATGATTTTTATTTAGTTCACTTCAAGTCTAGTGAACTAAACAACCTTAAGGCCTTAGAAAAAGCTAGCCTTATGCTCCATGTCCGAGTGAAGTGGGAACACTTCAGGAAGACTGGAGGAAATTTTCAAAACCTCACTCAGTGCCGTAAGTGCCAGGGATGGGGTCACGGAACTAAAAATTGCTACATGCCAGCTAAATGCATGAATTGTGGTGATTCCTCTCACGCAAAGGACGACTGTCCTGTGAAGGAAGATCCTAAGAAATTTAAATGTTCAAACTGTGGTGAAAACCACAAATCCAATTTTTGGGAATGTAAGACTCGCAAAGCGATCCTACAATCTCGTTCTAACCGACAGGTAGGAAACGCTCCACGTTTCCGACCAGGTACAAATTCCTCTGCTGTTAACAACGGTCAGCGAGGAACAAATTCTACATTCGTACCCGTAGGTACAAATATCACCCCTGCTTCAAATTTTTCATCTGTACCTACTCCTCTCGCTGCTAACAATGTTCAGCGAGTTAATGGAGCTACCTATGCTGCTATTGCAGCGGGTAGAAATCAAAATACTAACCAACGTTCTAACGGAAATTTTGACAATTTTGACTTAGGAAGCATTACTGCCCCTAAAATGGAATTTTTACAGAATTCATTAATTGACATGATTTCTGATATGCTTAAATCTAACTCCATGTTTGATGCTATTCAAACTGGAGTAAAATTTGCTAATAATATTGTCATGACTTTAAAGTTCAGTAATGGATTTTAAAGCATTAAACATTTTAAATTGGAATGCTCGATCTCTTAAAGATAATGAAGACGAGCTATTTACCTTTTTGAGAGTTCATAACGTGCATATTGCCGTTATAACTGAAACGTTCCTTAAACCTGACCATAAGGTTAAGAAGGACGCAAATTACTTGATTTATAGAAATGATCGTCTTGATGGACCCTGTGGTGGCGTTGCCATCATTATTCATAGACGAATCAAGCACAACATTCTTTCTTCATTTGAAACCAAAGTTTTTGAAACTTTGGGAGTTTCTGTTGAAACAAAATTTGGACAACTTACGTTTATAGCTGCCTATTTGCCATTCCAATGCGTAGGCCAGCAAAAGAATTTTCTCAAGGGTGACCTCCAGAAACTTACCCGTCATAGGTCTAAATTCTTCATTATTGGTGATTTTAATGCAAAACACCGCTCATGGAATAATGCTCAAAGCAATTCCAATGGTAATATTCTGTTTGATGATTGTTCTGCAGGTTATTACACTATTCAATATCCAAACAGCCCAACATGCTTTTCTTCTGCAAGAAATCCCTCAACTATTGATTTGGTCTTAACTGATTCATGTCATCTTTGTAGCCAATTGGTTACCCATGCTGACTTCGGTTCTGATCACCTTCCAGTAACTTTTGAAATATCCCAAGAAATAATTTCTAATCCCAACAGCTTTACTTTCAATTACCATAGAGCTGATTGGGAGCAGTATCGAACATTTATGGAATATAACTTCGATCCAAACATTCCTTTGCAAACCAAAGATGAAATTAATTATGCTCTTGAATCTCTGACTACTTCTATAGTTGCAGCAAGAGCTGCCTCAGTACCAAAATGCGAGGTTAAATTCGATTCAATTATAATAGACGACGATCTTCAGCTCTTGATCCGTCTTAAAAATGTCCGTAGGAGACAATATCAAAGAACACGCGATCCTGCCATGAAAGTTATCTGGCGGGATTTGCAAAAACAAATTAAAAAGCGATTCTCTGCCCTGAGGAACAAAACTTTTGAAAATAATGTTTCTAAATTAGACCCGAGTTCCAAACCCTTTTGGAAACTCACAAACATTTTGAAAAAACCTCAAAAGCCAATTCCAGCGCTTAAAGAAGGTGGTAAAATTTTGATCACAAATTTGGAAAAAAGCTCAGAAACTTGCTAAGCAATTCGAGAGTTCCCATAATTTCAGTTTGGGTCTTACTAGTCCTATTGAGAATCAGGTTGCTCGGGATTTTCGGAATATTTTCTCTCGGGAAAATATTTTTGATGATTCCTG